TTCATTGGTGATGGGATTTTCCCATGTATTTTACTGTTAACCATAAACAAATACAAATGAAAAGCTATCAACTTTCCTTCAAAAATCTCTAGAAATCCATCACTACTAGTAGTTTTTGACTATGACACCAAGGAGATCTAACTCTAACCCCAACGCTAAATTCATTTGTGGACAACAGTAAAATAAATGGGAAAATCCCATTGCCAATGAAAATGAATTTAAGGTTAGGGTTAGGGTTAGTTCTGCTTGGTGTCACAACCAAAAACGAATACTAGTGATGGATTTCTAGGAGTTTTTGAAGGAAAGGAAACTTGACAGTTTTTTGTTTGTATTTGCTTGTGGTCAACAGTAAAATATATGGGAAAATCCTATTTCCAATGAAAAGGAATTTAAGATTAGGATTAGAACTGGGGTTACAGTTAGGTCTCCTTGGTGTTATAGCCAAAAACTAATACTAGTAATGGATTTCTAGGGGGTTTTGAAGGATAGGAAATTTGACAGCTTTTCATTTGGACTTATTTGCGGACAACCGTAAAATACATGAGAAAATGCCATTGCCAATGAAAATGAATTTAAGGTTAGGGTTACAGTTGGAGTTAGGGTTAGGGTTAGATCTCCTTGGTATCATAGACAAAAACTAATACTAGTGATGGATTTCTCGAGGTTTTTGAAGGAAAAGAAAGTTGACAGCTTTTTGTCCGGACTGGTTTGTGAACAACTATAAAATACTTGGGAAAATCTGATTGCCAATGAAAATGAATTTAGGGTTAGGGTTATGTCTCCTTGGTGTCATAGCCAAAAACTAATACTAGTGATGGATTTCTAGAGCTTTTTGAAGGAATGGAAAGTTCACAGGTTTTCATTTCTACTTTTTTGTGGACAACAGTAAAATATATGGGAAAATCACATTGCCAATGAAAATAAATTTAAGGTTACAGTTAGGGTTTGGTCTCTTTGGTGTCACAGCCAAAAACTAATACTAGTGATCGATTTCTAGAGCTTTTTGAAGGAAGGGAAAGTTGTCAGCTTTTTGTTGGGACTTGTTTATGGTCAACAGTAAAATACATGGGAAAATCCCATTGCCAATGAAAATGAATTTAGGGTTAGGGTTGGGTTAGGATTAGGATTAGGTCTCCTTGGTGTCATAGCCAAAAACTAATACTAGTGATGGATTTTTAGAACTTTTTGAAGGAAAGGAAAGTTGACAGCTTTTCATTTAGACTTTGTTGTGGACAATAGTAAAATACATGGGAAAATGCCATTGCCAATGAAAATAAATTTAACGGTAGTGTTAGGGTTAGAGTTAGGGTTAGGTCTCCTTGGTGTCACAGCCAAAAACTAATACTAGTGATGGATTTCTAGAGATTTTTGAAGAAAAGGAAAGTTGACAGCTTTGGACTTATTTGTGGAGCACATTAAACTACATGGGAAAATCCCATTGCCAATCTAAATGAATTTAGGATAAATGTTAGGGTTAGGGTAAGCTTTGCTTGGTGTCATAGCGAAAAACCTATACTAATGATAGATTTCTAGAGGTTTTTCAAAGAAAGGAATGTTGACAGCTTTTCCTTCTGTGTTTTTTGTAGACAACAGTAAAATACATGGAAATATCCCATTGACAATAAAAATGAATTTAGGTTTAGGATTGGGGTTAGGGTTAGGTTTAGGTCTCCTTAAAGTCATAGCCAAAAGGTATTACTAGTGATGGATTTCAAGAAGTTTTTGAAGGAAAGGAAAGTTGACAGCTTTTTGGTTGGACTTGTTTGTGGAGAACAGTAAGTTGGAAGTTCCCATTGCCAATGAAAATGAATTTAGGTTGATTGTTAGAGTTGAGGTTAGGGTTCAGTCTCCTTGGTGTCATAGGGAAAACTAAAACTACTGATAGATTTCTCGAGGTTTTTTTTTTTATTAAATTTTTTAAAATTTTTACAATAAAAACCCCTTCCCCAATCCCTCCCAACCCCCCCCCAAAACCCTCCCCCGTTCTTCCCAGAGCTGAATACAGGCTTAACTAGATCTTAAAAGAAAAAAAGTTTTAAGCCCAAATAAACCTTAAGCAAATATAATTACGCTCAATAAACAAATTGTAAAGTACTTTAACTCTATTATATATAAAAAACAAAAAGAGGAAAAAAAAAGAGAAAATAAAAAATTAAAGAATAATAACAATTACACTTCTAGATAATATCTTAAACTTATATAAATTATTCAAAAGCTAGATAATATTTTCTTATATCATACTTATATTGTATAAAATTTATCCATCTTTTCCACACCAAAAAATACTTCTCTTGCGATTGATTTTTCAAGAAAGCCGAAATTTTTGCCATTTCTGCTAAGTAAGAAACTTTAAAAAACCATTCTTGCAAAGTAGGCAAAGATTCCTTCTTCCAATATTGCCCTATTAACAACCTAGCCGCAGTAATTAAATTTAACATTAAAATCTCTTTATCATCACAATCCGAAACAATACCCAACAAAAACAATTGTGGAGTAAATTTTATCCTTCTTTTAAAAATTCTTTGAATATTCCACCATATCTTAATCCAAAAAGCTTTAATACTTTTACATGACCACCAGATATGATAATAAGTAGCATCCGAGCAACCACATCTCCAACATTTAGGCTGCAGGTTTGGATACATACGAGACATTTTTTGTGGATCAAGGTGCCATCTATAAAACATTTTATAAAAATTTTCCCGTAAGTTTTGGGCTTGCGTGAATTTCAGGATTTCTCGAGGTTTTTGAAGGAAAGGAAAGTTGACAGCGTTTTGTTTGTACTTGTTTGTGGGGAACTTTAAAATACATCAGAAAATCTCATCGCCAATGAAAATTAATTTAGGTTTATGGTCAGGGTTGGGGTTATGGTTAGGGTTAGTGTTAGCCAACAAACTAATACTGGTGATTTATTTCTAGAAGCTTTTGAAGGAAAGGAAAGTTTACAGCTTTTTGTTTTGTGTTCTTTTTGAACCACAGTAAAATTTATAGAAGAATCCCATTGTCAATGATAATGAGTCTAGGGTTAGGGTTAGGTCTACTTGGTGTCATCCCCTAAAATTGATGCTATGGATAAATTCCTAGACATTTTTTAAAGATAGGTAAGCTTACAGCTTTTTGTTTGGAGTATTTTGTGGACAACATTAAAATTCTTGGGAAAATCCCATTCCTTATGAAAAGAAATTTAGAGTTATGGATAAGGTTAGGTCTACTTGGTGTCATGACCAAAAACTAATACTAGTGATAGATTCCTAGTGTCTTTTGAAGGTAAAGATAGTTGACAGTTTTTCATTGAAGGTGTTTTGTGGACCACAGTAAAATTCATGTGAAAATCCCATTGCTAATGAAAATGAACGTAGGATTGGGGTTTTTGTTAAGGTTAGTCTTACTTGGTTTGGTGGCCAAAAACTAATGTTAGGAATAGATTCATTGGCGTTTTTGAAAGAAAAGGAAGTTTATAGCTTTTTGTTTAGAGTTATTAATTGTGTGCAACAATAAAATCGGTCAGAAAATCCCATTGCCAATTAAAATAAATCTAGGGTTAGGTCTATTCAGAGTCATGGACGAAAGGTCATGCTAAGTATAGGTTTTTAGCTATTTTCTACGGGAATTAATGTTGATATATTTTAAGATTAAGATAACATTTATTTTCATTTTTTTACTTTGAGCACACTGGCATATATTAAAAATGAAATTCTTTTGCTTTCTCTGAAAAAGAAATATCTATCCATAACATTCATAAGACATATATAGATATGCTATATACTTACATATAGATACCTACACCTATACATATAAAGTGCATTCAGAAGGAATTCGGATCCCCTTCACTTTGTCAATTTTGTTATGCTGCTTCCTTATTGTCCAGTTGTTAAAATTCTTTTGTTTTCCTCATTAACCTACAGTCAGTCTCCTATAATGACAAAGTGAAAGCAGAATTTTAGAAATGTCTTCAGATTTATTAAAAAGAAAAAACTGAAATATCATATTGGTGTAAGTATTCAGACCCTTCGAACAAGATTTGAAATTTAGCTCTGGTGCTCCTGTTTCTCTTGATCGTTGTTGACATGTTTCTAAACCTTGACTGAGTAAATTAAATTGATTGGACATGATTTGGAAAGGCCCACACCTCTCTATAGAAGGCCTCACACCTGAGAATGCATACTGTAGCAGAGGAAGTGCCATGAGGTCAAAGGAGCTGCCTGCAGAGCTCAGAGACAGGATTATTGCAAGGTACAGATCTGGGGAAGGCTACAATAAAATGTCTGTGCTCCTAAGAGCATAGTGTCCTCCATAATTCTCAAATGGAAGATGTTTGGCACAACCAGATCTCTTACAGGAGCTGGTCACCTGGTCAAACTGAGCAATTGGGGTAGAAGGACCTTAGTAATAAAAAAAATGACCAAGAACCCAGTGGTCACTCTGACTGAACTCCAGAGATCCTGTGTGGTCATGGGACAGAGTTACCAAAGGACAACCGTCACTGCAGCCCTCCACCGATCTGGACCTTTATGGCAGAGTGGCTAGACAGAAGCCTCCCTGCAATGCAAAACATATGAAACTTGCAAAAAGCATCTGAAGGACTCTCAGACTGTGAGGAACAAAATTCTCTTGTTTGATGAAACCAAGATTGAACTGTTTGGCCTCAATTCTATACATTATGTCTGGAGGAAACCAGACACCGTTCATCACCTGCCCAATATCATCCTAACAGTGAAGAATGGTGGTGGCAGCATCGTGCTGTGGGAGTGTTTTTCAGCAGCAGGGACTGGGAAACTGGTCAAGGTTGAGGGAAAGCTGAACGGAGCAAAGTACACAGATATCCTCTATGAAAACTTGTTCCACGGCTCAGAACCTCAGATTGGGCTGAAGGTTTACTTTCCAACATGATAACAATCTTTAGTGCACAGCCAAGACAACACAAGAGTTGGGGGTGGGTGGGAAAGTAGGTTAGACAATAGGATTAAAGTAAGATAATAATAAAGTATTTTTATTTACAGATCCAGGACATGAAAAAGAGAAAATGGCTAGTCTAGAAACCAGCATTTTAGGTGAGGCTTATTTTGTAAGTTCATTTTGGAATTGTGGCAATTTCCTTATATTTTATGGGAATCCCTTTTAAAAGAAATAGAACATTTTTCAATTCCTTCATAAACGAATGTATGCTGCTGTATCATTAAAATACCTATCTGCTTTCTTACCTATAAGATCTGCTTTCTTACCTATGTTTGAATTTTTGTAGTTACTTTTTTGTTTTCTAATTGTAATCTTTAATAAGAGTTATTATTACAAAAACAAAACATACAATTGGTCTATATCTAGTAATAACTTTTATGAGAATAGAATGGATGGCGTTCCATCCTACAAAAAACATTTAAATTTCAAATTGTATCAAATTGTGTAATATCCACAGAGTAGGCTGGTGCTAAGAATTTCAGAGTTTTATCTATTATCTATTCTACCCACTCCATTTCTCTGTTTAAATAGATGATCACTTTCGACAGATAAATAAAATGAAAAAATAAAATGCAAACAATAATCATGACTGCAATTCTGAAAACAGTGAAATGGAGGCTGGTCCTTTATAATTAAGGGACTAACTAAATATATTTTGAGTTATGCTGTGCTTTTTCCTGGGACATGATGCAAGTCTATTAACTTTTTGATTTATTCCAGATACTTGTTAACATTTCTTGAGGGTAGAATTGAGACAGTTTTGTTAGGGATATGCAAATTTGAAATGTATACTAATTGTATCAGAAGTCTGTTCAGGGTCAAGATGACCACATTTCAAAACAGAGGAAAGTTGTGAGGTTGGGACACTTCCAGACATACTGGACCAGCTGTTTCTAACTTAAAATGGGGCATTTTGAATTCAGCATTTTGCATACCGTATATTAATGCTGAATTTGTAATTTTGAGATTTCATTATTTACATAATTTTTATTTTTTTAAATTCAAAAAGGAGTTAAAAGCTAACAAGAACTAATATAAAGAACAGGGAAAAGAGAAGAGAAAAAAGAAAAAGCTAAACATGCAAAAAGAATGAATAAAAAGAATTAGTAGTTTCTTATTTTCTTTACAGCAATTAAAAGTACAAATACAAAATTACCTCCTATTCTGTAACTACCAAAAAACTGTCTTTTTTTTTGCAATCTATTTTTCTTGTCAAAAACATTAGTCATCAGTTCATTTTTTTCTGTTTCATGCAAAAAGATTATCAGGGGTTTCCATTCAACAATAAACATAGATACTGTTTTTTCTCTACTCAAGGAAATAAATTTAGCCATTTCTGCAAGTTCCATCATCATTACCAACTGTTCTTCCATTGAGGATGGTGCCAAATTTTCCCACCTTTGTGCCCATAATAATCTCACTTCAGTTATCTTATACAGTATAAAAACAGTATGCTTGTCCATTTATCCTTGTTTCAATTGCATATTAATCGTTAAGATTCTCTGAATCAATGTATGAATTTACATCCAAAACTTTCTAGCCTGCCTTATTTATGTTTGATTTTTTCTTCCATAAGGATTTTGGAGCCTTCTTATTCTAGCCATGATGACTGGGCTGTCGTGTTGCAGTTTTTCCTGGACAGTTATCTATTTTGATTCATTTGAACCAGGAATGTTTCCTCCTACTCCACTCTCACCTGCACGATTTAAGTGAGTATCAGCTTAGAAAGAATCCAGTGTGAACAAATATTGGACTTGGAAATTTGCCATAAAGAAATTGATACAATATGCATACTATGTTTTCACATGATCACCTGTATTACTGAGACCTAGGTTAATGATTTGCAGTGTAGCTTAGATAGATTGTATGAAACATCATGCAATCTGAATCTTAAGGTTTAATGACATTTTTGTAATAATGTAGAGACAGATGTGTTATTGAGATTAGATTTTTTTTTTTTTTGCTATGATGGATGAATAGAACGGAGGAAATGTGGGACTTAGTTTTTTGTTAGGATTACATCAGTGAGGAACTATAATACACAGAGATGAAAGAAAGAGAAGTAGTGACTAAAGAGTGGATTTGGAAAAATGAATTGATGTAGACATTGAAATTAACTATTTGGTTATTTTAAGATTTTGTTTAGATTTATTTTTAAATTACTGATTATAAATAAGTATTTTTGAATTAATGACTGGGTAATTACATTTGTTTAAGATTGCAAAAATATTATAAATGCTATTAGGGTTAGATATTGGTTATATTATGGTTAACAGAATAAGAGATGATTATCTCTTATTTATTTGTATCTGTACTGAGGAAAGTTGGAACTCTTTTTTATTTTTTATTTTCTCACGCTTTTAAACGTCTCCCCTTCTTGATTCCTTTTTTCTAATTTTTATTAAGTATTTTATTTTTTCTTTGAAACTTAAGTATTGTTTTAAAAAGAAATATGAATCTAAAAATAAATTTATTGAAGGCCACACAATTGTATTTGATAAAAAAAATGGTTGTAATTTAAACATAAATTGCAAAAAACAGAATAAGTAGATTAATTTGTGTGCCTTAAAGAAGGGAAACTGGATGGAAAATTTTTAAGTGGAAATGATGGCAGAAAAACGTGTGTAGGGCAGTGTTTCCCAAACTTGACAATTTTAAGGCATGTGGACTTCAACTCCCAGAATTCCACAGCCAGCATCGCTGGCTGTGGAATTCTGGGAGTTGAAGTCCTCATGCCTTAAAATTGTCAAGTTTGGGAAACACTGATTTAGGGTATTGTGAGGAACTGTATTTGCCAAAAGAAATGAAAATGGCTATTGTGAGAACTGGGTAAATCAGGAAGTACTTAAGGGTTTGGTAAAGCAAGAAAATAAGGATCAAGAATGAATGAACCACAAATTTACTTTTTAAATAGGTTCAGTAATTTGCTTTTATCTAATAGAAATGGCCTTTTGTTGACTTTTCTATTAGCAATGTTCACATTTGTATACTAAGGCAACAAATTAAGCAGTTTCAGGAGTTGGCCACCAGAGTGTGTTGTAGCATAATTTTTTTACAACCCAAAGTATAAAATTCATTTTTTCCTTGAGAATTCCAGAAAATATAAGTATATTGTAGAAAAGATGTAAAATCCATATATAATAGGTCTTGATTGGCCAATCAGAATTCTGTCAGTTGTGTTCGAATTCACTGTTATTCTTACTATCAGAATATAATACATAACGTACAGCTAGAGGCTTTGTTGACCTTGGGTGTTAAACAGAACCAGGCTTGGTTACAACTGAAATGGGAGACCACTTTGATGTGTGCCAGGTTGCAGGCTAGACTAAGAATGAAAAAATATACAGTGCATTCAGAAAGTATTCAGATCCCCTGCACTTTTGTCAATTTTGTTATTCTGCAGGTTGATTCTAAGAAACTACTAATTCTACAATTCATTTTTTTCTCATTAACCTACACTCAATATCCCATAATGACAAAGTGAAAAGAGACTTTAGAAATGTCTGTAAACTTATTAAAAAGAAAAAACTGAAATATCATATTGGCATAACTATTCCGATCCTTCGCTCAATATTTTGTTGAAGCACCTTTGGTGGCAGTTAAAGCCTTGATTCTTTTGGGGGTACGACGCAACAAGCTTTGCACATCTGGATTGGGGGGGTTTCTGCCATTCTTCCTTGCAAATCCGCTCAAGCTCAGTCAGGTTAGATGGTGACCGTCAGTGGACAGCCATTTTCAAGTCCTTCCAGAGATATTCAATAGGATTCAAGTCAGGGCTCTGGCTGGGCCGCTCTAGCACATTCACAGAGTTGTCCCTAAGCCATTCTTGTGTTGCCTTGGCTGTGTGCTTAGGATCGTTGTCATGTTGGAAAGTGAACCTTCAGCCCAGTCTGAGGTCCTGAGCACTATGGAACAGGTTTTCACTGAGGATATCCCTGTACTTTGCTCCATTCAGCTTTCCCTCAACCCTAGCCAGTCTCCCAGTCTCTGCTGCTGAAAAACAGCCCCACAGCATGAGACTGCCGCCACCGTGCTTCATTGTTGAGATGATATTGGGCAGGTGATGAGTGGTGCCTGGTTTCCTCCAGACATAACATTTAGAATTGAGGCCAAACAGTTCAATCGTGGTTTCATCAGACCAGAGAATCTTGTTCCTTACAGTCTGAGTCCTTCAGGTGCTTTTTTGGCAAACTCCTAGTGGGCTTTCATGTGTTTTGCATATTCCAAAAGAAAGCACTAGCAAACAGTGTATGTACTTCTCCCAAGATTAGCATATTTTTATGTATGGTTTTCATTTATGTCTTGGTACATATGACTAGACAGATATACAGTAAGTCTAAACATGTCAGGTTAAATAATATTTGTTAGTGTTTTCATACATTGACTATATTGTGCAGTGATAGTTTAAAATAACGAAGAAAGCATCTTTAGGCTAGTTGCTGGTCTGTGTTGGCACAGACATATGCCTAAAAATTAGTTGTATAATTTGGATGGCCTTAAAATTTATTGCGAGCATATTCCTCCACAATTCCTTATTATCCAAATCCTGTTTGATTGGGATATGGTAGCATGTTTCACCCAAGAAGAATTCTTACATTGTGTCATGAGTATAAAAACACAAACATTTTTAAGACTACGCAAGAAAGTTATCAGCAGTATTTGCCATAATGGTTTATAAGGCTGGCTGGTGGGGTGTGCCTGAGAAATCTATATCGGACATTGCTGCAAATCTTAGGTGATGACTAAATGCAAAAGTTTGTATACAAATTTAAAATACTGAGAAGGAATTAAAGTTTTTGAACATTGAAAAGGGCAGCTCACTAGGTGTTATTACTGTGTTCAGAGGCAGGTAGATATTAGCATGTAGTAAGCCTTAAAATGAGAGCAGCTTATCTATGGGAAATGTTTCATGCCTTGAAATATCTGTCCTCTCTAATCTGTTAATCAATTAATTGATCTTCTTTTCTTTTCAGGCGACTGACAGGACATTCTTTTCACATGGGCTATAGTATGGCTATATTGAATGGAATCGTGGCAGCTTTCACTATAGCCTGGTATCTTTTATAATCTGCTTTTAAATCTGTTTTTCAGAATATAGCCCTTGAAACCAAACCAGGTAGCCATTTGTATACAATATGATATTTGCTACACTTCTCTTGTTTGTTTTGTATAATGTTGCTGAGGGGGGAAATATTAAAACACATGAACTGATGGTATTTGACATGAAAAGTCGACCCATACATTTAAGGAACCATTGCCACTTTCAGATTCCACTTGACAACCTTGTCTAAGAATGATGTTTAATTCTGAAGATCTTCCTACCGTCGTTTTTTGTATACCATTAAATAAATTTAAAATAAGTTCTTATCTTGATATGTCTCATGAATAGGAACAATTTATGGAATTTGTAATCCAAAGTGTTTTATTTACTGGAATTAGATTTTTTATATGTTATTGATTAAAGGGGGTCATGTATCGACCTCAAATTGCTTTGAAAGGTATGTTTTTTCATTGATCCAATGATTTGAAGTGATATTTTCCCCTGCATGTATTAAATATGCAGTATTAACTCTTCTGCCTTCCCAGTCTTTACGCCTCAGATTGCTCTGTATAAGAGCAGACTCATTTCTAGAACCCCATGGACTAGAAATTACTAGAAATAATTGTCTAGCATGATGTTCTTGGATAAATATTGCTAAATATTTGCAGTATTTGCAACTATTCAAAAATTAAGGTATTACAGTTGATCAGGCAAAATGAAAAAGATGGAAATCTACATTATTTGTAATAAGTAAAAATGTACGTGTTCTTATTAAAATATGTTGACACAGAACAAATCATGTATTTGTTGAAATATGATTCTATATTTCTAAAATACTAAAATACTATGGAGAAAGATCCTGTTGCACATTAGAACAACAGGAAAACTTAATGAGTGATTAAGAGTATTTTCCCTTTATACCTTGAACTCCCCAAAAGTCTGTGCTAGAGATACATCGGCTATCAGGAACAAAATTTCAGCGGCTACAGGAACATATCTGTGGCTGCAGCAACTGAAAGGCTCACCTCTTACCAATTATTCTTCCATCAACGGAAGCAAAGTTTGGATCTAAAATGTTAGCTTAATTTCTTTCTGGTTCTTAAGCAATGTCATATGATATTACATTTTGAATATGCAGTAAAAAAAGTTTTAAAAATCCTTTGTCTTATACTTGTTTGTTGGTATGTTTTTCTCTATAAAACTGGTAAGAGACAGCATGCAAAAACGTTTGTACTGAGAAGGCAGGATAGTAATTCATTTGATGTATAGCAAAGCACAATTGTAATATGTATCAAGTATTTTAATTTTCTGGTGTCCACAATGAGCAAATGATTGAATTATCGTAAACTGTTTTTAATTCAATGTTTCCTCTTACAGCTGGAGGACTAGTTGTGGGCTCAGAAAGAGAAATGGATGAATATTTTGGCCAGGTTATTTAATGCTTTGGAGGTTAAATGTAGGAATGGCAAATGAAGCCATTTCCTATTTCTATTCTTTCAAAAGCACTCTAATGTTCTCATCAAAATGGTCCAAATTGTGCTGTAGGAATCAAACTTCAGTAGCATAATTTGGTATTAGGTAAAAATGCAAGTGCTTTCCATCCCAGGAATTTCCTACTTCTATAGCTAGAAATTATGCTTCCAAAATTTGACCATTTTGCCACTTAGTCTTAGCAGTGCAATCTTGGAATATAGTCAACCTACAATTGGACTTTTATATTTCCTTGATTATTAAATCTCTCTCTCTTTCTCTGTCTCTCTCTCATTTTGTTTATGCAATATTTTCTTCCATTACAAAGTATACATAAGTTGTTTGTTTAAATTCTTTGATTAAATTTCATCACAGCTCATTGTGAAATTGCATTCTCTTCTGGATGCATCCTTATCCTTCTGAGGGAAAGCAATGACTGGTCCAAAATCACCCAGCTGGCTTTCATGCTTAAGGCTGCGCTAGAACTCATTCTCTTGGTTTCTAGCCTGGGCCCTTAACCCCTGCACCAATTTGGCTCTCAGCACAACCTTGAATCTTTCTATGCAGTTTTGGAACAGTGGTGAGCTGCCTTGTTCAAGTACCGTCAAGCTGGTCAGAACTTGCGTATCTCTTCTAACTTCATAGTTCTCATGACAGTTTTCTTCCTTGCAACACTTGCAAATTCAGCCGGAACTTCTTATTTGCTGGAAAGCAGTTCGGCTTCCACACAAAGCGGGGCCCGGCTTTTGTGGAATCCAATATGTGTAGAGACAGTTGAATGATGTCAGTGGGAATGTGGATTACCTCCCAGAAGATCTGTAGATGGGTTTATCTCTCAAGATAGTTCTTAAGAGAATAATACAGCTGTTGGAGGAGAAGGAACCCTGAACACCACATTGAATTGCTTGTGGAAAGGTAAATAAGTGTGATTAATTATTAGAAAAACCAGGGTAATTAGTTTTGCAGCTCTTCATTTTCCCTATCCATGTTGCATGAAGAAAAGGGAATTGCAATGACAGGAATCGGGAGAGTTGAGCAATTATGATGTGGATAGATAATTAATGGTAACAGATTCCATGAAGAATGTTAAAGAATATTTTATGCTGTTTGAAGGGCAATTCATACCATCCACTTATGAAACCCTTTCAGGGTTTTATCTGGACACTTTGCCAGTAATCAAGAAACATAAAGAAATGTACCCAAATTTTGTGTAGTGGCCTGAGGGAATAGAGAAGAAGAGATGTAGGACTGTCCCTTGGATAGATACCAAAGAGCAAGTATGCAAGCCTTTCAGGCTGGTCCTTCCTCAATTAGTAGGAAGCCTAAAGATTTTAAAGCACATTAATCTGCACTTCCTTAAAAAATGTGAAATCCAAATATGAGAATTTTTTAATACGCTTTTATGTACGTTTCAAATTTCTCTTTGGCCCTCAGATGTATGTGTGGGTTAATATGCTACTTGATATTTTCTATGTTGCATTAGCCATTTGTATCTATGCCACTACAGATGTGTTTTTTATGGCTGTGAATGTGATAAAGAAATGTTTGAAATAAGCTAGATTCAGAGCAACTCTTCCTATTTTCTGAATAAATGCAGATGAGAAAAGAAACGGCATTTATGTGGCCTATGCGTATAAAGTAGCTACTATGGCTATATAGTTAATATCTGAATAAAATTTTCATGAATCAATTATTCCCATTCCCAACAAAATACATGTTAGAAATGTTTTCTATAGATTTATTATTATTTTTACCAGGACTTTTGATGTACTTTATATCTCAGTTGTTAAGCATACATATCTGCTTTGAGAAAAATCTTTTATTTTAGTCTTTTAAAGTATTTGTAATTATTTTTTTAAAATATTCAGATTATATGCTTGCATGAATTCTTTTGGATGTGTACCAAAGCATATACTAAAACATAATTACAACATTGTAGATAATTGCTTTTCTAGGAAATACAATTGAGCTTTGTTCTGGCTTTTATATTACTTTATTGACCTAGAAACATTAAACTGAATAATTGTCCATGTAGAAGCTATTTTATATTTAAATAGTGATTCTGAGTGAATAACTTAATAAACATGATAATACTTAATAAACGTATGTTACAATATATTAATACCATAGTACCTGTGGTTTTTGAGAGCCAGTGTGGGGTTATTGTAGTGGTTTAAATAGTTTAAAATACCAGGCTAAAAATGTGACAACTGGGAATTCTAGCCCTATCTTAGGCACAAAGCCAATGGATTGACCAGGACAATCATTCTCCCTCAGTCTTAGGAAGAAGTCCATAGCAAACCACATCTGAAAAATATTCAGTTCAAGAAAACTGCATGGAAATGTCCATGTAGTCACAGGAATCAAGATCGGCTGGAAGGCAAACCTCTTCACCTCCCAGTCCCACCTCCCCTGACCTTATAAAACCATACAGCATTATTAATTTACATTTACACCTTGAGTAGGAATTTTGCATAATGCTTCTAGGACTTAATTTGGCATTTTATCATTATACCACTTGGGTTATGCATCGGTCTTCAAACATAAATTCCAAGATTGATGGCTGGTTTCCTTTGGCCTTCAGGATCTCAAACTATTTAAACCTGGCTGTCATCCCCTTAGGTCTCAAAATATCTGGGAGGTTGCAGAAGAGAACTTTGCAGCATTTTTGCTCTTAATATTATTTCTCCTTTGCTGCTGCCGGGGGGGGGGAGTCTCTGGTGAACAAGGTAGAAGCAAATTAACCTGCATTTAGAAGAAGGTTGCAGAAAATTGTTCTTTGCATTAACCCGGAGTCCAAGCCATTTCAGAACTAGCATGTGTTTGTGGCTAAGGTGTTGGACTAGGAGCAGGGAAGACTAGGTTTTAGTGTAGCCTTGGCCACAGAAGCATATGTGGTAGGTGACTTTGGGCCAGTTACAATGTCTTAGCTCAACCACTCACAGGATCGTTGCAGCAAAAAATAGGGATTGTTTTATACACCTGGAACTCCTGAATGAAAGGAAGGAATAAAAGTAAAATCAATGCTTTCATAAACGGCAATACAGAATTCTTCATGTACTCAAAAGTTCTAACCATTCATTCTCAATCTCTTGCTTTTGTTAATACGAAGGGCATTTACAAGGGCACATGTAGAATCTAAACAGTGAGGTTTATATGTTTTGAACAGGTCACTTTAACTTTGCAGAATCATTTGTTGCTGAAAAATATTCAGTATTATGGCTAACGTAATTTATAGCAAACTTGAAAATTAGGCATTTTGTTTCCAAAATTGTTTCATAATCTTAGCGTGCAAATTAAATGCTGCATTAAATGGTTGGGGATCGTATCTGAGATCTGCAAGTTGCTGGCTGCACCCATACTATAAGTTTCAGTTAACACAGTAGTAAGGGATGATGCCCCCCAAAATTTGGAGCATATCAGTTTGCTTCCTGCTTTCTTAGAGAAGAAAAGAAGTGGAAATGTTTTTTTTAAAAAATATGATTTATTTTATAAAGCAAAGATTAAAAGACTTCTTATCCATTGTCCTCTTTTTAGAACAAGCACTTCCTCCGTTATGTTAGTGATAAGCGTGTTTAACCAAAGAGTTGTGCAAAATGCTTGTGACCTGAGAGAAGGGTTCATTGCTTAGTATTTTTTTTTCCTCTAACATATGCTATTTGGCTAATGTAGCTTTGGGATTCTGGTTGAAGATAATCATTAAAGTTCTTGCTTTTAAAAATGTTTTTTTTCCCCACTCAGATTTGCAAAATGGCTTATCTTGAGAGCACACCACTTTACTGGAGTGAAGTCTGTGATAGAAATTAGATTCTAAGCTATGATTTATCTGCTCTTCCCTTCAATTTCGTTTGCGGCAGTACAACATTTGTGCTCAGAGTGCTTTCTGTTTCTTCACTGGGATGAGGAATTTATAAGAGGCAAAGCCTTGGATTATGAAAAAGGAAGAAAAAGCCAAAACAGCTGAAAAAAAAAAAGCTTAAAGATAAAAGTGACATAATTGCCACTAAAGTTATTGGGATCTGTTCTTTTCAGTAAAATTTTGCCTAAGAGGTATGCTTGACTCAGCATTCATGACAGCATAATCTTGTCTCGACCAAATGTTTATTTCTAGGGAACATCAGTCTTCTACCTACTACTCAGGCACTAGGATCAGCTATATCAGGGGTCAGCAACCTTAAACACTCAAAGAGCCACTTGGACCCATTTCCCAGAGAAAAGAAAACACTAGGAGTTGCAAAACATGCGCTAGGGGTCTCTCTCTCTCTCTCTCTCTCTCTCTCTCTCTCTCTCTCTCTCTCTCTCTCTCTCCCCCTCTCCCTCTCCCTCTCCCTCTCCCTCTCTTTGTCTTCCTCCCTCTCTTCCCCCCTCCCCCTTTCTCTGATCTTCTCACTGGCAAGCTGGCTTCACGCTGTTCTCCAACAAGCTGACACACATTCTTATTGGGCTGGCTCTCTCCTGCCCTTGGTCTGCCAGTCGTCTTCCCCCACTCAGTGAGTGAATGAGTGAAAGAGAGAGAGAGAGAGAGAGAGAGAGAGTGCTGCTTTCTGCTGCTTCCTGCTGAGATGCAGCAAAGGCAGGAGCCCCGCCCAATAAGCTTGTCAGCTTGTCTGAGAACAGCGTGAGGCCACTCTCTTTTTTACACACACAAACACACATACAGAGAGAGAGAGAAGGGAAGTGCAAGTGCCTCTGTCTCTCTGTGTCTCTCTCTCTGCAAGTGGCGGAGGAGGCTGGGAGCCGCAGGAGAAGGCTCAAAGAGCCACATGTGGCTCCGGAGCCACGGGTTGCCGACCTGTGAGCTATATGGTCCCATGCTGCCTATATGGTTTCCTCAATAATCTACGCTTGAAATATATTCAAAGAAAGGTAAAGACTGCCAAAGTTGGAGTGAGGCACCATTCTGAGCCATTGCTTGGAGAAAAATAGTCCTCTGTGATTGGAGAACCAGGCAAAATTTTTATCCATGCTCTTGAAATGCCTGGGTCAACACTGCAACGATCTTGGCTGAAGCCATTTGTGCTTCGTTTCTGGTTGCCACGGTACTGGGAGGGGGGGAGGGTGATTTTAATGTTAGACTAAACAATACTTTGTCCCGTGGGAACCAAGGTCATTGCTGCCTGACTTTTGGTAGGCTGAACCTTCCGCTAGAAAGTCCGCCAAAGTATTCTATTGGGGACCGTGGATAATTACATAGTGCTGGGGTGGAAACTTCAACTTTGTAACATTGTAACGCTTGAGAGGGAACTCCAGACTTGGTTTCATTTTTGACTGTGCCGATACTTGTAGCCAATAAACATGTTCTTTAAGGAAACTTCTTGCCTTGGAATTCTGCTTTTACTGGTCTTAGTGGGCCGGCAATTTGAAACCCCTGAGCTAGACCATTATTAGTGGATTCACAAATTAAGTGATTATCTCATATAAACTTTTAAAAAGGGTGGGGAGTGATAATATACTGTATGAGAAAAAACAAACCTAACATATTATGCAGGGTAAAAAGAATGATCCCCAACCCCACAAAAGCTGGAGAAAATTGCCAATATAATATTTTTTTTAAAGGTACGTGTTTAGCTTTTATTGAAATACAATTTCCATACAGATCGATAAAGTAGTGTTGGCCTCATTCATCACAACTTCACACACAAACCCTGTGTTTTATACAAACATGCACGAATGTACAAATTGACTTTATGGAAGCATTATGTATAAGTCACCTACAGAATGCTTTGTTTATAACAACCATCACATGAAATCTAAATTAGATTGTACCATACTTGCTTTTTTTCTTTGTGCCTTTAAATCAGTTTTGACCATTAGGGACTACACAGTTAAGAAGTGGATTGCCAGAGAGGGACTGGCCCAAGATCACCTAGCTGGCTTTGTGCCTAAGGTAGGACTAGAACTCATGGCCTTCCAGTTTCTAGCCGGTACCTTTAACCACTACATGCAACTGACTCTTTGTATTCCAAATTACCATGAAAGAAAAATAGAAGAGTATTTTCTTAATATGTGATGTATACTCTGAATAGCCTTAGCTGATACAGTAGACCTTTTCTTATGATCCTGTAGTTAAAAAATAGCCAAAGCTAGCACATTTTCAATATTCTGGGAATTTCTTTAAAGCTAGCAGAAAATGAATATTGCTTTGTGGCTTTAGTTTTCATAGCAGTTCTGTTAAATAAAATACTAATGAAAGAGACTTGGCTAGTCAAGTATGTACATTGGCATTTATTTCCCAATTGCTTATCTGTGCCTATTTCATCTCTTACACATCTTATATAGTACTAGGTGTTGCTCTCTGCAACTTAAGGAAAGCAAAAGAAAATTATATTAATACAGTACCAGCCGCATATTCTGTAAGCAACACCCCACTTTTACCATAACCCAGGGGTGTCAAACTGCCAGCCCGTGGGCCGGTTTCATACCGGAGTCGCACCCACCCCATTGCCAGCAATGGCAAAAAAGCTCTGATACGTTGCGCGACATCACATGACGTTGTGAGTTTGACATGTCTGCCATAACCTCTAAATGCTTTCCCAGTTCCCTATCTGCAAATGTGTAAAGCTCGGACTTTACTAGTGCTATTATTACTAGTACTACTATATCTCTGGAGATTCTCAATCACCCCAGTCATGGTGGTCTCAAAGGTGCTTTTCCAAAAAGCAACTGGACTTTCTTGGTTTTTTTCCCTTGAAAACGTTTCACTTCTCAAGTTCTAAAGTTAGAACTGAAGAAGTTTCTTGGATGACAAGCAAAACATTGTCAAGGGAAAAAAAGTCAAGAAAGTGCAATGCCTTTTGGAAAAGCACCTTTGGGACTGTATTACTACTACTTTTACATTTACTTGAGCTTCAGCATGTATATTTTTGACTGTTTGCCATGCTTATTGTGATCACTCTGGCTCTTTCAAAACACCCTAAATCAGAAATGTCTGACAGGGCAAACTGCCCTTCTATTTTTTTCCAGGAGAAATTAAAACCATCTCAGTTCTTTTCATAGATTCAATAAATGCCAATCTATTCCACTTCAGACAGTTTCCAAGCTTTTCAAGACAATTAGCATGTGCTCACATGTGTGCGATTATTGAAATGCAAATTAAAAGTAGTAACACTGTTTGAAATCCAA